TGGGTATTGATGTTCGTCTTGAGATTTATGGTAAATTATGCAAGATCTGTCAAGTTATGAATCCATTTAGCATAGCTTCAACAATAGTTAAGCTATATGTGATTTAGCAATACTATATGTTCACTGATATGAGTGAATTCATTTACCATTATCAAAAGCAGATGTTTTAAATCAATTCTGCATTGGAGAAAAATTATTTTTTAGAGTGACCATGTAGTGAGGGAAAAAAGCCTGACACTACATAGCCATCATGCTGCTTTTACCTCTACCCTGTCAATGGTACCTCATCCCATCCCATCCCACCAATGCGGCATCCTTGGCCACCTCCTCTATCGGTTGGAGCTTCTTGTCATGCTAGCTTGTGCAACTTTTATACATTTTGAGGATACTTTTTGAACTTGCTGGTAGCAACCGGGTGGATTTAATTTTTATATCTCTGGGAAAATGACACAAGAATAACTGTCTGCTATGGCCAAACATGTTCCTCTCTACATTATGTTTTTTATGCTTTATTTTCTCCAACTCTGTTTTATAGTGTGTGTTGCTGTTAAAGACAGTGTTGATTTTTCATTTGTATGAATAGTCAGGTTAGCTCTTCTAGATTGTTCACGATTGAGTTCATGTATTTAAATATTGGTACTAAAGCTGGACACACATTACAACCTGATCAGCATATAGGTAATGTGAGTTCCCACCTAAACAACCCATTCTAATTACATTCAATCATGTGGGCTTATGCAGTTGGCAGATTTTGCAGATCTAACAGCCAGTATTATTTCCCCACCGAAACCAGACAGATTCAACCAAGCGTTTCACTTGGAGTCCTAAATTGTGATTCCAACTGGTGACTTTGCACAGCAAGTTCTTCTACTTATGACCAGCATAGGTTTTGACATTTAACAATTGAAGGAGATGAGGGCAAACTTTTTTGTTTAACATTTTTGAGAATGAGGGTTCTTCTGTGGATCCATAAGTCACTGATATGTGGACTGTGTAGAATACTTTCTCTGGTTGGTGTAAATTGTGTTCAGATCTGACTAGCAAAAATAAAGCTGGACTCTGAAAGTTTGAATCCAATTTGTAGCTGTAGGAAATGAACAGTTCTTAATTCTGACAGATGTGATGCCCAATGCAACAAAAGCAATGTTTAAAGCTCCTCTTGTGGAAACTGTTATCTCATGTCATCTTGCAGGCCAGCATGGTGCAGATTTTTTAAATTGCTTATGTTTAAACCGTTGATTCAGTTGGGTCTTCTGCTGAGTTAATCATATCTCTCATGATAAGAGGGACAGATACCAGCACTCACAAACATCATATGAACTCCTTTGGAACACTGGCATTTAGATGACCTATTCATATATTTATGTACTAGTTCTTAAATTCAGCTACACAATTAAAATTCATTCTGTTGAACTTGAACTAGTGCATGATGAATTCTGATTGTTTGCCATGGGGTCTTACACTTAAGAATGTAAAAATAATACCAAGTTTAGTGTCTTCGGGAAATCTCACAAGTAATTTTAAACATACCAACAAATATCAGTAATTACTTAAACATTTGGCTAAATTACCACTAATTATTTTATCTTCTGGTTTATTTCTCAAATTGGAATTTACGGTATTTTGCTGTGAAAGCCAAACCATTTCATTTCTAACAGGTAGAATTGGTATGATTGTAAAACATAGTTTATGTTCTCTGTTTACAACATTAATTTGTACTGTGCTAGGATCATGTCCCATTTGCAGACAGAAAATGATTGAGCTTGTTAGCATGCTAAATCATTGCTTGTTTTTCTAGCAGAGCTAGTTTGCATTAAATTGATTTTAATGGTCCTTGGTGTCAGCTGTTAGTAGCTTAGAACAGCTAAATATATTAAAACATTCAAGTTCAGGATTGACTTAATGCAGTTATTTCAGGGTAATGTTTTGCACTTTGAGCTTGCCCTGCTTTTATGAGTCCAGCAAGCCTTCCTGAGAAAATTATCTATTACTGAAATGTTAAATATACCTATTATATAAAATTCTCCAGACTTTGCAAATGGCCCACATTTTCAGTGGAATGGGGGGCGCTATCTTGTTTTTTTTATATTTTCAGTTTCTATTTTTAAGTACAGGTTAGAAAATTTTAACTTTACATGTGAATGGATGCTTAATTCTTTTTTTTCCAGTTTTCATGAATCGGCCTCAATGTAATTTTTAATTTCTGTTGTCATTGATATTATTATTATATCACCATCATTAATAACAACAATAATAATAATGAAAAATAATAATGAAGGTACTGTTAAATACTCCTCCTATGTTACAAATCACAACGTGGTGCCATTTTCCCACCAGACTACTTTTATTATTTTTTACTGTTCTTAGTCTTCTAGATAACACATTAAATATGATGAAAATTTGCAACTGGCTTTGTACCATGTGTCCACTTACATACCCATTTACTGAGCCACAGCATCTTAAAATGGTATCATCTGTGAAATTTAAATCTGGAAGGAGGAGATGGGATGACCATCACCTCACCCCTTCAGTCTCCTCTCGCATTACTAACCTACTAAGTGAGATATCGGCATGGATGTCACGCCACTTCCTCAAACTCAAGTCTTTCCAAAACTGAGCTCTTAGTATTCCCCCCAGCCCGTGCTCCCTCCCCTGACTTCTCCATCATGATCAATAACACAATCATCAGTGCCTCCCCTCATGCCAGGGTACTAGGTGTAATCCTAGACTCCCATCTGTCCTTTCAGCCCCAAATCCAATCACTGTCTAAATCTTGTAGACTTCACCTCCGCAACATCTCCAAGATACGCCCGTTCCTAACCCCGGAAACCACTAAGCAACTTATTCACTCCCTTGTTATCTCTCGCCTTGACTATTGTAACTCCCTCCTCATTGGCCTACCTCATCCCAGGCTATCCCCTCCTTAGTCTATCATGAATGCTGCTGCCAGACTCATCCACCTTACTAACCGTTCTGTATCAGCCACTCCTCTCTGTCAATCCGTCCACTGGCTTCCCATTGCCCAACGGATACAATTCAAAACATTAACAATAACATATAAAGCCATTTATAACTCTGCCCCAAATTACATCACCAATCTTGTCTCCAAATATCACCCAGACCGTACTCTCCGCTCCTTTCACGGCCTCCTGCTCTCTAGCTCCCTTGTCTCCTCCTCCCATGCTCGTCTCCAGGACTTCTCCAGAGCTTTCCCCTTCCTCTGGGATTCTCTACCCCAATTTATCAGTTTATCGCCTACTCTGCTCACTTTTAGGGGATCTCTGAAAACCTATCTCTTCAAGGAATCCTATCCTGCCGTCAGCTAATAATGGAATCTTCTACTCTTCCTACCAGTCCATCCCCCATAGTTACTACCTTTTGTACCACTAGCCCCTCCCTTCTAGATTGTAAGCTCCGAGGAGCAGGGCCCTCCTATCCCTCTTGTATTGAACTGTATTGTTACTGTATTGTCTCCCATTATATTGTAAAGCGCTGAGCAAACTGTTGGCACTATATAAATCCTGTATAATAATAATAATAATAAAGGTTGAAGTATGACTTTTTGACTTGTAGGGACATTCCTTAAAGAGTAAGTTCACCTTTTCCTAAAAAAAGAATAAATGCACATTTTTTTGCAGGTAAAAAATGTGCAGTTATTATTTTTGTTGCAGGAGCCTGTAAACCATTGCACCAGCGATCAGCAGATCACTTGTGCCATAGAGGTCGAATGCAGACCTGTCAGTATACCTGCTTGCTTGTACGGGATGTATGGGCAAGCAGATATACAGACCGGAATTAAAAATGAACTACCACGGTGCTCTACCGCGGGCCAGTATATTCATTACATGTTACACCCTGAATATGGGTGTATCATGTAACATGTTATGAAAGGTGAACTTATCCTTTAAATATACACACATCGAAAACAGTGGGTGCAGTGTAAATGTTCATAACTAATTTATTTTTATTTTGCTTTGCATACATTCGACTTGTTAATTTCTTTCATTTGTTCTACTTTCAGTAGGAATTAACCATAGGTTTTACTATAAATGTGTGATTCACATACCAGTTGCTTTGTAATATAGTATCTGATCTTTATTATATATTATTTAGTGTAGTTTGGATAGTTTTTTTATGCATTTCAACTATTTTAATAAGTGCCTTTTTTTTCCCATAGAATCGCAATGAGATCAAGAATGGAGCTATTCTTCGGTTAACCGCTTCGCCAGTAAGTGTTTACATTTTCTTTTTATGTAGGAAATACTCAACACTATCAACTTTAAACAAATAATTTACATGGCATCGCTGACTCCTAAAGTGAATGCAAACCCTAACAATGATCTTTTATTATCTTATTTGCGCTATTTCATCTATTAAATATACAGATGGAATGCATTTTTTTACTATTTTAGATTTTGTTTTCTGACACCTGGTACTAGAGAGTTTTGACAGGTGCCATGTTTGTACTTTTATATAAAATTGTAATAAAAATAATTTACAAAAAAAATACCAATGAAAGCATTTCTTATGTCTGGTAAGTGCAAAAAAAAAAATTGGTTAATTTTCTCAAAAATTCAGAGCTGTTATGTGTACTGTGCACACTTCCTGTGTTATCTTGTTGGGCCTAATTAATCCTGATAGGTCTTGGCACTACAGAGCAATTAGTCTTTTTGTTGTGGAGAGTAAAGCAGGGGGACAGTTTGAGTAGTGTATCAAAAGAGAACTAGTCAGGACTTACACCATTCTGTCCACTAAAATGATGTGTGTTCTCAGCCAACAGCAATAATTATTTCTGGCACATCAACAGAGATTTCTGTACTTTAAAAGGGTCTTTAACCGCTAGCCTACAGGGCACTTATACCCCCTTCCTGCCCAGGCCAATTTCCAGCTTTCAGCGCTATCACACTTTTGAATGCAAATTGCGCGGTCATACAACATTGTACCCATATGACATTTTTATAATTTTTTGTGTGACAGATAGAGCTTTATTTTGGTGGTATTTAATCACCTCTGGGTTTTTTATTTTTTCTTAAACAAACCAAAAACCACTGAAAATTTTGAAAAAAAAAAAAGTTTTTTTCTTAGCTTTTGTTATAAAATTTTGTAAATAAGTGATTTTTCTCCTTCACTGATATGCGCTAATGAGGCTGCAGTGGTGGGCATTGATAGGCTGCACTGATGGACACTGATGAGGAGGCACTGGTAGGTGGCACTGATGGGCATTGATAGGCATCACTGATGGGCACTGAAAGGCAGCACTGATACATGGCACTGATAGGCAGCACTGATAGGCGGCACTGACTGGCACTGATAGGCGGCACTGACTGGCACTGATAGGCGGCACTGACTGGCACTGTTAGGCGGCAATGACTGGCACTGATAAGTGGCACTGATTGGCAGCACTGATAGGTGGCACTGATTGGCATTGATAGGTGGCATTGACTGGCATTGATAGATGGCACTGATTGGCAGCACTGATAGGCGGCACAGATTGGCATTGATAGGTGGCACTGATGGGTGACACTGAAAGGCAGCTCATATGGGCACTGATATGTGGCATTGATGTGCACTGGTAGGAACTGATGTGGCACTGATGGGCACTGACAGGTGGCACTGCTGGGGCTACACTGCTCATCAGGACACACTGATCATCAGTGCTCTGATGATCAGTGTACATGTCCCCTCCGCGGAAAGCCGATTACTGGCTCTCCAATAACCGGCATTTCCCTGTTTACATGTGATCAGCTTTTATTGGACACAGCTGATCACATGACCGAACCGACATCTTTGGCTCTTTCCGTGATCGGTGATCCGCTGTGTCCGATTGCCGCGCTGGGCGCTCCCTGAGCCACGCATGTGCGGTGAGAATGGGAGGACATCATATGACGTCCTCCCAGAATGAGAGAACCACCTTGCGCCCGTCATTGGACTATATGGCGGGCGGGAGGTGGTTAAAAAGATACACCATGAGCAAATCTGCATATATTTCGGAGATGTAATGCATAGGTTTTTTTGCCATAACATACACTTTTTTTTTAAAGGTGTTTTATTTTTGCCTTGTAAACTTCAATTCACTATGAAATAGACTAATAAAAGTAACCCAAACACAAAATACAAATCAGGTTGCAAACACTGAAAGACATGCACTCACACACACACTACAGACCTACATCGGGCCAACACCTTACACCATATCAGATGGCACAGTAGGCACAGAATAATAGAGTAGCGATTAATATCACATACCTTGCTGCCGAAGAGGCACAAAGGAAGAAGTTTAGTAGCACAGGCACTCGTAACCTTAACCACTTGCCTACCGGGCACTTATACCCCCTTCCTTACCAGGCCAATTTTCAGCTTTCAGCGCTGCCGCATTTTGATTGACAATTGCGCGGTCATGCAACATTGTACCCATATGAAATTTTGATAATTTTTTTCTCACAAATAGAGCTTTCTTTTGGTGGTATTTAATCGCCACTGGGCGCTTTACTTTTTGCGCTATAAATAAAAAAAAGTGCAAAAAATTTGAAAAAAAAAAAGTTTGTTTCTTTTATAAAATTTTTCAAACAGGTATTTTTTCTCCTTCACTGATGTGCGTTGATGAGGCAGCACTGATGGGCACTGATAGGCGGCACTGATGGGCACTGATAGGCAGCACTAAAGGGCACTGATAGGCAGTACTAATGAGGTGGCAAGGATAGGCGGCACTGATAGACAGCACTAATTAGGGGTCACGGATAGGCGGCACTGATATGCAGCACTGATAGGCGGCACTGATAGGTGACACTGATTATGGGTACTGATAGACGGCACTGACTGGCATCACTGCTGGGCACTGACTGGCGGCACTGACTGGCACAACCCCTGGGCACTGACTGGTGGCACTGACTGGCAGCACTGCTGGGCTGCACTGGTGGGTGGCACTGGTGGGCAGCACTGGTGGGTGGGCACAGGTCGGTGGCACTGGTGGGGCACAGGTGGGTGGCACTGGTGGGCACAGGTGGGTGGGCACAGGTGGGTGGCACTGCTGGGCACATGTAGGTGGCACTTCTGGGCACAGGTAGGTGGCACTGCAGAGTGGCACAGGTGGGTGCAATGCTGGGCACGGGTGGGCGGAGCTAGTGGGCGCACTGCTGGGCGGAACTTGCGGGTGCCACTGCTGGGCACCGATCATCAGGGCACTGATCATCAGTGCCCTGATGATCGGTGCCGATCCCCGCTCTGACAGCTGCCGGTTCTCGGCAGTACTTTCCTCCTGATCTGACAGCGTGAGGAAAGTGCAGCCGAGAACCGGCACTTGCATTTCCCTGTGATCAGCGTGTCATTGGACACCGCTGATCACGTGGTAAAAGGCCGCTGTGATTGGCCTTTTACCACATCTCGTGATCAGCTGTGTCCGTAGGACACAGCGATCACGGAGGTCGCCGGGTGCGCGCCCCAGGAGAGCGCGTTCTGGGAGGACGTCATATGACGTCCACCCAGAACTGGCCGGCCGCGGTGAAGCCGTCATTCGGCTATGCGCGGTCGGCAAGAGGTTAAAAGACCGGGCTTTGCAAAGAAAGCTTGTACTTGGGGGAGCCTTCATACTCTAAAACCAAAAACATTCTGATAGTGGCAAGCCAAGGGTTCTTCCTGGAGCAAGATTGATTTGTGAACATAAAAACAAAGCAATCTGATTGGAATTTTGCCAGCAAGGTGAAAGGTTCGTAAATGCCTAGCAGTAACACTTCTGAATTCTTGGGGATAACCGTGTCCAGTTTACATTGTAGGATGGAATGAATGTGAATTCAGTAATTTGGGATCCAATGACATGCCGAAAAGATATGAAATAAATCCAACAAGTTCAGCCAAACATCACAGATAGCGTTCATTATTGTAAAATCTCATGCCTTAAAGTTTGAGGTGTGTAATAAAGAATATGTATATATTTTAATTGGGTTAGTTTATCCATGGTGCTGAAAATTTCAGAAAACCATGTTCAGGTCACCTCAAAACACACATTTGGCTGCTTTCACCTTTGTCTTTCTGCATGAGCACCACCTAGGAAGTTTCAATATGTTCTCCATATGTAAACAAAACTTCCAAAACCCGAGTTGCGCACCCTCCCCTCCACTGGCTTCATGGCATAGCGAATTGCACTGTGTGGCAAAACCTAAAGCTGGCCAGACACCAGTCGATTTTTGAATGAATTTTCATATGAAAGTTGTCAACAGTATATTTTTGACATGATAAATGTTTAACTGTAACTGCACCTATAAACCAGGGGACATAAATGTCTATACTTGTTCACCAGGAAATTCACACCAAAAAATATTTTTTTTTTTGTTCAAATGTTAAGTGTCACAAAAGTGTTAATTGTAAATGTTATCAATCTGTTAGGTATCTGCACTCACTCACTTTCTAATATTTTTCATATTAAGACTCACACTGCGCAGCAGCTCAATGACAGAGTCCAGTCTTCCAGCATGGACGTCAAACTTGAAGCACTAAAAGATTTGGCTAAATTTTCAAGGGATATTACATTTGCACAAGAATTCATAAACCTGGATGGCATCTACCTCCTTACTCAGATGGTGGAAAGTGGCACAGAGTAAGTTATCCATATTCATCCTGCTAGAATTATACTAAGTCTTTTGTGGTGAATTATATCATATGGTGGCTTTTCCTTCTGCCTATTCCACTTTTGAATCCTGTGTCTTATCTAGAGATGGGAAGGCCTGGGAAAAATTAGGGAAAAGTGTTTTTTTTTTTCTTTTTAAAGCTGTATTGTTTATTTCCGGGGAAAAAAAAAAGTGTGAAATACATTCTTTTACAATAATAAATAATAGATCTGTGACATGGTATTCAAACTATATAACATGACGACTTTAATGAAAGATTTCTGAGACTTTATGTAAAGTCTTAAAGCGGTAGTAAACTCAAGATTTCTACTTTCCTCCCTTGAAATTGTTAAACAATGTACATGGTGTTGTCTTTGAATGTGTCTAACCTGTTCCGCTCTGAAGAAATCGAGCGATATTCAATCCAGTGACATCATTGGCACATGTGGATTATAGCCGCAATTCATGGCATACTCTGTGTGCCGTCAGTCCTTTTCGTAGTATGCCATGCCCAAGTCATCCACTCCCAACAGAAATTCCAATCCCGTGAGAGTACATCCCCACACCATATAACTTGGCTAATTCATCTTGCGCATGCATCAGATTATTGCCTCCATTATAGAGAGGGGGGGGAGTAAGTGGATGCAGAAGAGGAGACCCAAGATGGCGCAGGCTTCGGCTTAGATATGCAAAAATGAAAGTAAGGCAAAACATACTTATATTACAAGATTTGTAAGCAAAGAATATAGTGACTTTCCGTTTCATCACTGGCGTTCTTTCTTTCAGGTGTTGTCGCCTGAGTTTATTACTGCTTTAATTTATTATAAGTTATTTCAGCTAAAGAGAAGAAATTCCTAGAATTAAATTCAAGTAACACTGTGCTTCTCAATGCCATTCTCGGACAAGAGAAATATGCACTTCTGCCACTAGGGGGCACTGCATGGGGAAAGGCTCCAGTTTAGTTTTCCTACAGTTGGGCAAACTGTACCTCCTATAGTTGGGTGATTGTTGGGATACAGCAGATGATAGTTTCTGTTTCCACAGGCCTTAATTGACAGATAAGAAGGTAAATTTGTCTGACAAATTAGTTTATCTTTTTTTTTTTTACCTTTTAAATGATTTATTAATGTTCTTCACCATCACAGCATAATGTTTACCCATAGTCTGGTTAGTAAATTGGTGTTTCTTTTCCTCTCTCAGTAAAACGGTGAAACCAACATCTAGAGTTTGGAAACATTTTACAGTGCAATTTTGCAAATATTGTGAGAAACAATATTCTTTTCCAAATGCTACAAGGATGACAAAACACATTCTAGCATGCCAGAGGTACCATGAAGACATTAAAAATACTTTATGGAATGAAACGATAAGGACCATAATTAAAGTGCAACTAGCTTTTCTCTCCAGAGTTCTCATTCCAGAAGCACTCTTCTGCTTCTGAATCATCACAAAGTGTTTATTCACCAGCAGCATCTTCAAGGAAAGAAAATTTGCAAACCACGGCCTCCCATAAATACACAATACCTTCATTTATAGATAAAATGACACCTGAGAATCAGGAGAACATTGATCAAGCTCCTGCAAGAGAAATGCATGCTTCTGAATCAGCATTGTCAATGACTGAAAATGCATATTGGCAGGAAGCTTTTAAATTATTAACATATACAGTCTTTGTTCCATTTGTAATAATAAAAAAAAAATATTAGATTTAAAAAAAAAAAAAAAAAACACAAATTTTTAGTTTGTTTACTTAATGAGCTGTACTTTTATTTTAAGCATAATACTTTTATATACTTTTGATGCACCGAAATATTGGCCGCTGAAAATTATTGG